CACATCAAAAACTTCTCCAACAGACTGGGAAAAAATATTTGGTAATGACATATCTGATAAGGGATTTATACCTAGAATTTATAGAATACTCTAGTACCTAAACAAGATAAAGGTAAACAACCTAATTGCAAAATGGGCACAAAATATGAGCAGACACTTCACTAAAGAAGACATTCAGGTGGTGAACAAACACATGAAGAAATATTCAAAATCCCTAGCTCTGAGAGGTGAATTAAAGCAACAATATCATTTCACCCCAGTAACAATAGCAAAGTTCAACAGAGCAGCAAACAACAAATGCTGGCAAGGTTGTGGAGAAATTGGAACCCTTATTCACTATTGGTGTGAGTGTAAAATGGTGCAACCACTATAGAAGGCAAGGTGGTGCTTTCTCAGAAAGTTGGAAATAGAAATATCATCTGACCCAGTAATTCCACTACTGGGAATATACCCTAAAGAAACCAGAACAGACACCCAAACAGACAAATATGCACACCTTTGTTTATTGCTGTGTTATTCACAACAATAAACAGATGGAAGAAACCCAAGTGCCCATTAACAAAAGAACAGATAGAAAAACTATGGAATATTCACATAATGCAATACTATGCAACACTGGAAAACAAAGAATACAAAATGGGTGACCCTGGAGGACAGTGTGCTGAGCGAAATATCTGTCACAAACGAGCAAATACTACGTAATGCCACTGTTAAAAAACAGTACTGATATGCGGGTTGGGAAAAACGAAAAAAAGCAGGGATCAATAATGAACATTGCATGAAACAATTTGAGGGAAAGAACTGTTTAAGAGGAATATATAATTAGGCATTATTTGTGTGACAATGTCCAGAATGAGAGGTACATAGCCAAGTGAACTAGGGGATAGGGGTGGGAGGAAATTGTTCAACAATGAAAAAAATGAAAGAATCTTTTTAAAGAAAAAAGTGAACTGGGGGGTGGGGATAGGGAAGAAAATGTACAGCAATGAAGGAATGGAAATTCAAATTTTCTGTAAACTTTTTTAAAGTATCAATAAAAATTTAAAAAAATATATATGGGAAAGTCAGCTGTTAGGGACCTCTCCAAAGTACTGAAGAGTAATGGTGTCGGTCTGGAGACTAAGGTGCGCTTGATACAGGCCATGGTCTTTGCAATCACTTGCTATGCATCAGAGAATTGGACAATGGCGAGGGAGGACAGAAGGAGAATTGATGCCTTTGAGCTGTGGTGTTGGAGAAGAGTATTGAATATAACATGGAGTGCTAAGAAAATCAACAGTTTCATCCAGGAGAGGGTTAAACCAGGCTGCTCCTTAGAGGCATGGATTCTGGGGCTTTCTCTGACATCCTTTGGACATGCTACAAGAAGGGACAAGTCCTTGGAGAAGGATGTCATGCTTGGGAGGGTGGAGGGACAGCACAGGATAGGAAGATACCCTATGAGGTGGATTGATTCAGTGACTTGGGTAATCAGGGTAGGTGTTTTGGAGACAGTGAGAATGCACAGGATAGAGCAGGTTTTAGGGTTGTTGTACACAGGGTTGCCATGAGTCGCAGATGACTCGATGGCATATAACAACAACAGCAGCAGCAACATATACCACTTGCAGGAGAACCACCTCAAACAAAAACTTAAATTTATTTTCTCATGTAATAGAATAGACCAGGTGTATATAGTCTGTTCCAAATCTTGCTTCTGTTTCTCTGGGTTGGTATCCTGCTCAATTCAATCCCCTCATGATAAGAAATATATCCGAAGAAAGATCAAGATAACAATTTTGACAGAGAGACAAAAGATCTTGGGAAAAGTGGCACGCCCCATTGATGGAACATGCTTATTGACTTATTCTAATTATATCCATCTTTTTTTCTATAATTATATTTTATTAATTTTCATAAACATTTACAAAGATTTTGGGTTTCCATTCATTCATTGTTGCACTTATATCCATCTTTTGAATCCATCTGGGGTTATGGTCAATAGTAAGTACACTACTTAACTGAAAATGAAAGGATATTATTATCAAGAGATTCTGAGTGCCTTCTGATACTAAGAAGTAGAATTGGAGCACACAACAGTGGTCACTCTGGAGATAACCTGTAATTCTGTTACAGAACAAGCAATGATATAGTATATACGAGAATTTAGAAACCTATTTTTCCAAAGAAATTTCAATATTTAAGATATTATTTTCTACATAAATTATTTCATGAACAGCCAATAGAAAACTCTTGAACCATTTCTTGGTCATACACAGAGTCAACATGAGCACAATTCAATATTCCTGAATTCCTATCCTTTTCAATGTTATTCCTAGTATAATTGCGTTCCACACAGTGAAAAGCATATACATCTTCCTGATTTTTGGGTTTGGGCCAAAATTCATCTGATGTTAATGATGTCTTTTGTTTCATGGCCTTTTCAGAAGTCAGTTTGATATTCTAGGAATTACATATCAATCTAATGGCTCTATTTAATTTTTAATAATCAGCAGCAGGCTCTTAAGTGCATAGGATTTTACGGATATTATTTGGCAATTTGTGCATTCTGTTGGATCACCTTTTTCAGAGGGAAATAGACACAAATCTAGATATCGTCCAGTCCATTGGCCAGGTTACTATCTCCCAAGCTTCATCGCAGAGATGTGTGAGCACTTCCAGGGCTGCAACTCCTGGACATTCCATCATTTCTTGAGGTCTAGCAAGCATTATCCTGAATGAAAAATCTCAGTTACAAAAGGACAAATACTGCATAAGATACCTGTTATGCCAATAAGATGGATATGAATCAGAGGAGGGAAGAGCAGGAAAATAATGGCTAAATAATTGTATAAACAATTAGCAAACTGAAATAGAATAAGCATAACAAGCATTACAAAGTGAATTGAGGAGAGAGAGAGGGAGAGGGGGTAATGTGGATGACTGAAAGAACGAAAGCCAGTCTCTTTGTTGAGAGATTGTTTGGAGGTTCTAGCAGGGGAGCGCAGCTACTCGTATACCCTTGACCGAAGGACGGTCTTCCTTCTATCGGGGATGGTCGTCCTCTTCGACCGAGCGCGCAGCTTCGGGAGGGACGCACATGGATCGGTGAGGGAGGAAGGGGACCCCCGCCTAGCCAGCCAGATCAGCCG